TTGCCTGTAACGTTTAAATTCACCCGGCTCATGGGGGGGGGGGGGGGTCGCCTTCCTGTGCCGCAGCCTGAACTGACTGTGCGGGTGATGGGCGCCTCCCCTTAAACCACTATCAAGCTCAGTGAAAACGAATATGAAGATGACTGGCAGACCCACCCCACCCCCCCACTATATCTACGCTCTTCTCTCAGGCAGTGCAGCGTCCGCTGTTGTTCTCTGCCTCACTGCACAGTGTCTCTTTTGCCTGTAACGTTTAAATTCACCCGGCTCATGGGGGGGGGGGGGAGTTCAGGAGACCACGATGAGCATTTTTTCTCAGAACGTTACTTTAGGGTTACGGCTCTGCTGTGTAACATAGCACGCGTGGCTCTCAGAGCCCAGAATCTGCTTCACTCCCATCCAGACAAGCATGTTATTGCAAGGTTATTAATGGCACAAATTGGTCCTCATTGTTGTAGCCATTTCCCATCCATGGGAATTTCAGCATCAGACTAAGTTGACCTGTTACTTGCTGCCATGGTAACATTCAGTCTGAATCTCAGAGGTGTGCTCGTATATCATAATCTGTGGTATTTTTAACCGCTCTGTCGCTAACCTTAAGCAATTACCCCCCAGCTGGTATAAGATGCTGTTTTTTGTAATGAGAACGTTTCCTCTTTTGATATCGGAATAGTTGTAAAGCCGTGTGGTGTAGCTGCTTTTTTGTCATATCGATAACAGCAAACTGTCTGTTTGAAAACATGCTTCTGGTATTAAGTCATCATTTCGCTAGTGCACCCCCCAAAAAAACATATTTAATCCTTTAATATCCTTCCCACAGCTGGCTTTTCTGTTTGAGTGCTTCAGATGCAGCATCTTGCTCAAGGTTATGGGATCTGGGCTGAGTGCCCGACCGTCCCGCCCAGTGTGGGCCGTGCTCTGTGCACTGCTCCAGTGCCGTCCTTCACCACTGTCACTTGCCACTCCACCTGGTCGCTGCCGTTTTCGGAGGCAGCGGTCTGTGGCATATCTTAGTTCTGTATCCCTCACCACTCCTCCCCCCCCCATGACAGAGGCATCAGCCGTAGCTTGGTCACAGTGCTGGGCTACGGCCTCCTCACCAGCGACGCCCATGCCCTGGTCAGCGCCCTCACCCAGCGAGACTTTGGCGTGGTGCTGGTGGACGAGTCACATTACCTGAAGTCTCGTCAGGCGGCCCGCACTCGCCTCCTGGTTCCCTTGATCCGGAAAGCCCAGCGGGCCCTCCTGCTGACCGGCACGCCTGCACTGGGCCGCCCGGAAGAGGTGAGGCAGTCAGACCTCCCACCAACTCCTTTATTTACGTCTTACTGTCATTGCAGCCACTGCACCTCTGCATTCCTCAGTCATGATGCATGCACCTTTTTATAATTAAAAGCACGTGCAATTA